TAACCTCTTTAGTGCCCCCAAGGAAGACCGAAAGAAGGGACGAAGTAAGGGGATGGGTAAGGAATAGGAAAATACGTGACAAAGAAAACATTCTCTGCCTGGGAGGAGACTGACTGAGGCTGTTGAACTGAAGGGAGCATTCGTTGGCCATGCCAGTACTTACCACTGATGCTGAGTCAGAAACAGGTATCCCAAAATCCCTTTCCAATGAGCCTCCCTCAGAAACCATGGAGGAAATAGAGCACACATGCCCACAGCCTCGACTGGTAAGTAAAGACAAAGGATGCAAATGTATGCGTGGCTATGGCACAAAAGAGTTCCTTATGCGCCCGCAGGCAGCGAGGAAAAAGATGCTTAGAGGATTTTCGTGTAAATGAGAATGGAGCTACCGCCTAATCCTTCTCAGCTTGTTTATACTTAGCTTCTCTACCGGACGCGCTCTCAGCTTACAAAGCATTATTGTATCGGCTGGGTAGGAAACGGGCTGCTTGGGCTAGGCTGTGTTTTTGTGCCCGGGGAGGAGGGAATGGCCTTTTTCCTTTGAGGTGTCTTCTCATCTGAAGATAAAAATCCTACAGTGCAATTTAAAAATGGTATTCTCCTCTCAAAGCTTGGAACGAATCCGTTGTTAAGTTCTAAATTCTAGCTAGTGGATAGATGATTCGGTCCTCAACTCACGTTGCTACCTAATGCCAGTTTTGGAAAAATGAAAACGACATGGAAGCAAAACTTCCCCATTCATTTGAAATTTTCAAAATAAGTAAAAGAGTCCTTCGATGATGTATTTAGAAATAATGTGTGCCTTAAATGAATTGTAAACATTTCTGGAGTGTGCTGTGAGGGTTTCTCTTCAGGTATGGGAAGCTGGGGAAGCTGCATTTACTTAAGAAGGAGCTGCATGCCTTTAATAATGAAAGTGTGCAAGTGGGGCGCTCAGAGCTTCCTTCCATCTCAGTAACTGGTTCTCAACCACCTCAGCGTGTATCCTCCAGGAATCAAAAACATCAAATGTGTGATGGGTTTTCTGTGGTGGTCTGAAGTCTTGTGGAACTTGGGGAGACCTCTCTTTGAACCCACAGATCCGAGCCATACACTAGTTAGTGTTATCCTTTCTCTAGCAATTTCCCTCAAATTAAAAGATGTGGTATTTTGATTGGCTATGGAGTTTGACCCTTGGGAAGAGGTTGTTGTTGTTGTTGTTGTTGTTGTCGTTGTTGTTAAGGATTTTGTGATGTAGCGGTTTGAACTCCTAAAATGAGGGCTCGCAGATCCCAAGGCCAGCCTATCATGGGACTATTATTTCTCATAAGGGTTAATAAGAGTTCAAAGGCAGGCTTAGAACAACTTTCTAATATATGAAAACAAGAGAAATTATATTATAGAGCTATGGGCTTTTGTTCACTGCGTTTCTATTTTTTAAAATGTATTTCTTAGGGCAATTTAATATTAATATTTGAGCCCCTTACTGAGCGACATACACAATGTAGTACCTATGTTCTCATGGGATACAAACCATCCCAATAAGTTTGTTACCAAGGGATTCCTTTGAGGCACTAAAGATGTCATGGTTTAGCACTGAAATAAAAATGACCACTAAAAGCTTGTTACAAGATCATCCAAAAATATTTTTAAAAGTTTAAAACCCAGTGTTCAAATTTGCATCACACACCTTCCTGACAGATAAAGGGCAGGGAGAGAGGCCGCATCCGGTTCCAGTTTGTGCATCATTTCAGTCTCTTGTGCCCACTTCTTTTCCTTACCTTTTTGCCTTTTAGCTCTTCTCCTTGGTTGTTTCTGCCTGTGAGGGCGGGCAGAGGAAATTAAGGGAAGGAAGAAAGTTCGAATAGTTTTCACTTTCACTTGTGACAGCTCAGCCTGGAGTTAACTCATAAGAACCATGCAAAGCTGGCAATGTTACACCTCCACCTCCCAGCTGGTTTAGAAATGAGGAAACTGAGGTTCAGAGAGGGTAAGCGACTCCCCCAAAGTCACATTGCTTCGAAGGGGTAGAGCTGGGATTTGAACCCAGAGCTCCACATCTGCAAAATAGATCTTTCCCCTACAACACACTCTGAAGTGAAATGCATTCGCTTCCAGTCTTTTTGGCAGTTCTGGTTTAAAGTAAGTGTGTGTGTGTGTGTGTGTGTGTGAGAGAGAGAGAGAGAGAGAGAGAGAGATGTACAGAAGTTGCTCTGTTAAAGTGATTGCTCTGCTCTGCTTTTGATAAAAATTTTCCATGTTGTATATTATTATCATGGTATACTGAAAACTGGTTCCGTTAAAACAAGGACTGCAATCAATTTATAAACCACTACACTAAACTTTTTTTGAAGCACCTTTTCTCTTATCAGCAAACTTTGATCTCTGTAGGGGTATATTCTAAATTTAGATTTATACTTAAGAGCCCGACTTTCCTTTGCTAATGATTTTACTTTAATAATTAAGACCCATATTAACTACTTAATAACAAAGTTTGTGGATGAAGAGAGGGAGTGGCAAGTGAAAATGCTAAATTTGTATTTCTTTTTAAGGTTTTTAGTAGTTTCTGTTGATCTTTAGATTTGCTAATGTCTTCGTATTTCAAATTATATAAATTCTGTGTATCTCCCAGCACCCAAGCATATCACCCAAAATTACACATGGGTCACTGGCACCACAACCATCAGCAGGGTGTGGCTGCTGAGTTGCTTAACTAACTTTGGAAAGTACATGAAAGACTTGAGAGAGTCCCCTTCAGGGGACAGACTCCTTCTCCCACTTGTTATCAAAACTTGAATTCATACAGTTTAGAGGAAACAGGATTCAAGAACAAAACATCATCTTATAAAAGAAAGCAATTACTGAAGTGGTTCTCATTGTGTTAGCTGAGGCATAACTGGTCCCCAAACTCGCTCTAACTTTATCTAGGGATAATGGAAGAGGAGATTTCTGGATATATAAGTGCTATAAAGCTCTACTTCAAGTCCCAGAATGTGAACTTAGGTCGCTGAATGTCATTGTCTGTGAATATGAATTTTATTTAAATCTCAGCAGTTGTGTCAAATGCCCTTTTTGTAACGAACCTGTGCTCTCTATTTAGCATGGCGCGCGAGAAGGTGTGTACAGTGTTCCTGTGTCTACATGTGTTTTTCTCTATATTATTTACAGTGAAAGTTGTCTATTGGGATCTGTTTTTAACTCAGCTCGCATTGATTGAGTACCTACTATGTGCTGAGCTCTGAGCCCTCAAGTACTTTGTGATCTAGAGATTTGAGAAGAGACTGAAACATAAACAGATAGTTTCCATATAGGTTGATAAGGGCACAGCGTGATAAAAGTTGTGTTACCAGATGCAGCGGGGGCAGAAAGTAGAGAGTGGAGAACTCCCTGAGAGCGAGTCAAAGTTTACCATGGGAACGTGGAGGAGAAACCTGCCTTGCCATCACTGTATCTCTGGTTTCTAATTCAGAATGTAGCATTGCCCTTTAAGGAAATGAAGCGGGAAGCTGGCATATCTAAATAAACAGAACTTGAAAGCAATCTATATTTTAGATCCTTGTAAGTAGTAAATTGATGAGGATATTGAGGATTCGATGTAATCATGTTCAAAGGGGAATTTTTTCTGAAAGGTATACCTGTATTTTTTTCCACCTGCCTTATTTTTCATTGGAAGAAAATATAAGAAAGGATAGGAGTGAATAGAATTAAATAACACTAATAAAGAACTTCAAAAAGGAATAACAAGATTACCTAGGTTTAAGATAGAGCATTTAGGTTAGGAACGTAATTTTATTTCTTTTATTACTTGACTATGGTGCTTGGGTTTGAGATGTTTCTGAGAACTCTTCTTTCCATTCTTACAATGTTTATTCTTGATCTTTGATTTGTTCCTTGTTCTTTGCTACTTGGTTGAACATGATGCAAGGAGACTCATAAGCTTGACTGTCTAGAGGAGAAACTGAGTAGCCTTGGGCAATATGATGTAACCACCCTCCTTGGAGACCCAACTTCTGAGGGATGAGGACTCCTTGTGGGCAAGGATCATGTCCTCATATCTCCCCAACTCTCAGATTAGGCCTAGACAAATCCTCTGGGCCCAGCAGGTGTTCCATAAACCCCTTCCAACAAGGCCTACCCACCCACCCACCCTGAAAACTCTCTCCTTAAGGATTTGGTTAACGACCTTGGTCAAGTTCTTCCAGGAGTGCATTTTGCTGTCAGAAGGAAGTTGTAATTCTAGCCTCCAATAGTCACTTCCATGAAGATGGATGTGCTATGGATCAACTGAGAAGGCCTTGGAAATAAAAATGGGCTGGTTCAATATGCCATTTTAGCAGGAGTTCATTTTGGGCTTTACTTCAAAGGGGAACAGTGCCAAGAGATTGCTGTCTTGCGGTAGGTGCATTATGTCAGTTGGGAGGTAGGACAGTCACCTGCTAGTGCTCAAAAAGATGACTGGGTTTCCAGAGACACCAGTGGCTTCCTTTACTAGTATCTATTTAGCCACTATCTATTTAGCCACTCAGAGTATACATTTTTAAAGTGAGACAGTTAATGTGCTGCTGTGTTAGTGAAAATATACAAACATGTGCCTCCTTGGGGATTTACTGTGGTCAACTGGAATTTTGCCCAAGGCTATTATTAGACATTTTCCTGCTGGTCTTGGTCCAAATGCAACATCCATTTCTTGCAGATTGATAATAGTCAGGTGTATTGAACATAGAATCAATGAATTAGTTTCTTCCACTCTTATAAGTTTGTTCTTTCACTAACCCTCCAACCCACCATTTACCTCATGCTAAACTCCTATGGAGGAAATAAATCAAAATCAAATATAAGAAAATATGTAGGTTTTTTGTTTTATTTTGGTGTCTGAGTGTATAGAAATAAAAAGGGTGCCTGTGTCTTCATTCAGGCAGTAGGGGGACTTAAAAATATTCAGTGATGCAGGGCTATAAAAGGCAACTGAGAAAAAACTCGGCCCCCTACCAACAGGATCCACAGTTAGCCAGCCATCAACTTCCATGTACAGCAATGCACCAGGTGCTGTGGAGAGAAATGTAAGAAGTAATCCATAGCCCCTGACCTTGAAGATCATTTCCATTTAATAGAAGGCAGTAGTTTGGCATGTGAAAGCATACCAGGATGTTGAAATCCCCTGAGAATGTTTTTTTAAGTTTGACTCTATTTAACCTGATATATCCAAAATATTATTATTTCAACATGGAAACAATATAAAATGATTAATTTTATCATGTAATATAAAGGTATTTTATAATCTTTAATT